GCCGGGGAACTGGCCGTTCACGGTGAGGACGGTCCTCTCCTTGCAGAGCCTCGTGTGGTTGCTCTCTTTAATCTGCCAAACAGGATGCACGAACGCCACAAGTAAGTTTATGATCATATGCTGAGATGGCATGTGTACATGTTAATTAAGAGAAATTGATATTACTAGATAGAAATGAATGCGAATAAATGCAAGCAGACTTACAAAGAAATCGTGGTAGCGAGTCTTGGCGCCCTGAGCGGGGCTAACGGAAACTCCCAGCGCTAACACCGCCCCAAGTAACCAAAGCACCGCCGGTATCTTAGCCATACCCATCGCCGGCCGACGGCCGTCGCCACTCACCGAGCTCTGCTCAGCTCGACCGTGGACCGTCGGAGATTAGTTAAGAAGCGAGCCACAAGTTATGAAGCTGCTGCTTGAGCAAATGTGGAAACTAATGTGTGGGATGGAATGGACCGATGATGGCAACTCCAAGCAGACGCACGAGGTATTTATAGATCGTACGTATGGGCGACAAGATCGAGCCCGGTCGACGATGCGTGTGCTGATGTGCATGGTTCCATACATATGATTAGCTTCTTGTCAAAGTTATAATCGGCAATCGCTATGGAAAGTGGAGGCTTTGGCAGAAGCCGCCCATGCACATGCAGTTGCCCCTAGATCGATTAATTTATTTGTTTGGGAGTGTCTAGAGTACATCTAGATGTGCTTTGGTTATTGCACATCTAAGTAAGTGAATCAAGCACAAAGAGGAAAAGAAAAAAAAATATCCACACAAATCTCAACGTAAGATCAATGATATATGATTTAGATGTACAATACTTATGGCATATTTAGATGTGCTTTAGCAAAACTGTATTTTTGTTATTAACCGTTGGTTGGTCGCTGTCATGCATGCTGCGACGACGACAGCGTCAAAGGCTCAAAGCCTTGAACCCTTTGCGCCAACCGCCCACGGGATTAATAATTAGTCCATCCAAGCACGTACGACGTAGGTGCAACTTCTGGAAAATCAATCAGAAAACACACGAGGGGCTTTTGGAACGTGTGGTGGGTCGATGCATGCATCCATTCCTGTTTTCGCCTCATCTGGATGCATGGAGCTGCCATGTTGGTTCTATTTTGACGTTTTTCCTTTTGCCATGTTAGTTCTATTTTGACGTTATTGTTGTGAGCGATAGTAGTGGCTCGTTTTTGTAGCAGGAACAAGCAAAGCTCGTCAACGCGTGAGGAAATGAAAGTCGTGCTGAGATTTGTGGCACCCGGGAGACCTGATCGACGACGCAATCGATTCCAAGGGAAACAACCATGCATGCATGCATGTCCGACCGTCAATCGGGACTGTCAAACCGCGGTGCGACCGTTGAATGGTGGATCCTATCGAATGGCGTTTTGCCTCCCTAGAGCGCGGGCTTCCGCGTGAATAGTAAACAAAAAAGATATTATAATATTATTAAAAATTCTGATTTTTTAGATGATCGTGTTAGTGTCTCAAACATCGTTAAAAAGATTCATGCAAAACGAGCAGCGGTGTTTCCCTGGTGAAAAGAAAAACAAATTTAGCATGACATTCTGGAATGACGTTTGGTGGTTTTTTTTTTTGCAAAGATCAAAATGTTTAATTTTTTTGCCTACAAATTTATATGTAGCACTTGGATGTGACAAAGAACCACATAGATTTTTTATTGAATTTTTCTTGACATTTCAAAAAATATTTTCACGCGCTTCCGGAAGCACCAACGGATATTGGGGATCCTATTCCCCTAACATGGACAATCAGAGCTGCTCGCCGCCCATTTCTTTGTTTTCCTTCACACCGGTTTGGGAAGGTTCTAGAACCTTGAATTTTTTTTCTATCTTTTGATTTTTTTTTGGTTCCTTATTCTTTTACTCTTATATTTCTAATTTCATGAACATTTTTTAAAATTTAGAATTTTTTTAATGAGGATTTTTTTAAAAAAAATTGTGAATATCTCAATTTAAAAGGCCTACAAATGTGTGTAGATACTGATGCGAGAGCCGGCTATGGGGGCCGGGCCGATGGGGAGCAGTCGGCAAACACTGATGCGGGAGCTAGCCATCCAACCACAGCCGCAAATGTCCGGAGACTTTTCAAATGGAATTTATCGGAACTAAACAAATTTGATGCAAATTTAAACAAAATAGATGAATTTAATTAAAACCTGGATGCTTTTTTTTAAAACGACTAATCTTCATCCAAATCGGAGCACATGCGTTTTGTTTTCGATATATTTGGACCAAACACTAGTCTAATGATTGCCCCTGCACGCTTCCCATGTCTACCAACTCGTCGGACGACTATGAGCCCCGAAAAATGAAGCCCAGCCTCCGCAAAAACCAGCAAGTGGCTAATCGAACGATGATGATGAGCCCACCAAAGCAGAGCTTCAACGAAGAGGAGAAGTGATGGACTTCGTGGGAACCGAGTACCGACGTCCTTCCATGCTCTACGCTTCCTTGTTGCCGGCGGTGCCCGCGGATGTGCCTGCTTCATTGTCATGGTGGAGGACGCGACTGATGCGGAGTTGGCGACGTCATCCTCGTCCTTGTTGTACACTTCATTCGCCGCCTCGTCAATCTCTTGAAATGTGACTTTCTTTCTCCGTCTGTAGGAGACGGTACTGCAAGCGCTCACGACGGATGTCGCAGGCGCAGTGGTAGGATAGGAGCAGAGCCTCCTGCTCGTCCATGTCTACAGCTATCATGATGCCCGTGGCGGTGGCGAGTTGCTCCTCCGTGTGCTTGTGCTCGCGGAAAAGGTGAAGGTTGTAGGCCTGGTAGATCTATGCTACTGAACGTGGCTTCCCATCCTTCCAACACCACATCGGTGTAGTGAGCCCGCACCTCGCCCATGGCGATGTCTACATGGGATGACGAGGATGGTGGCACCGGATCATCCGCAACGCTGGCCATTGGAGAGCTCGTCCGCCTGTCGGCCGTAGTGGCGGCTATCTCCTTCTTTAATTCAGACGAGAGGTTGTCCCGCATGCAGGCCTTCGGAGCTCGAGGAGGCCACGTCGGGTGTGGTGCCGAGAGGAGGCAGGGAGCGGAGGAGGTTGGATGCCGTTGTTGTTGGCCCGGGCGTTTAATAACAGGCGGATGGCAGACCTGGTGGCGATGTGGTTAATAGTGATCGGCAGACAGATGGACGGGCGGCGTTGGAGTAGGTTTCTCGGCTACCGAACATGATTAACGAAGGGAGGCAGACGAACGGTTTATCATTTGAACGCGGAGAAGGCGCGTGCACCAGGATGCGGTGCAAACGACGCTCTCGGCTGGCACGCCGCTTTAATGCTGGCTCCAGTGAGAGGTCGCCTCCGCTCTGGTCCGAATGCGGCGTTGACGCTTCAGACGGGAAAGGGCACGAGTGGGGAAAGGGTTTTGGGTAGGGTTAGTTTGTCGGAGGCATGTGTGGTAGCACTCAAAAAAAGTGAGGGCCAACTTGGGCATTTCCTATTTAGCGCTGCAGGCGCCCGTTTGTGTGCATTTCGCAAACTGGCGCCTGCAGCGCTCCGTGCTGGGCCGGCCCATGTAGGGGTGCCTGAGTTTTTTCTTCTATGTTTTTAGTCTAGATACATCCATTTCCGATGAAAATAATTCTGAACGGAGGGAGTAATGGACTACGTTGCTACTCGAACCTCATACCTCACCCGTCGCTACATGCTTCTGTTACCACCCCAACATGCAGCCGATTCTGAAAATTTACGAACTTTCCTCTCTTTTATTCACTCTTTTTCTTTTTTTCCTTTTTTGTATTTTGTTTTTTTCCTTTTTGTATGACCAGGTTCCCCCTGCACCCCTTTGAATTCGATGAACTATTTTAAAATTCTATGAACTTTTTCAAATTTGATTAACCTTTTTTTAATTTTCATGAACTTTTTTTTTCAAAATCAACAAACTATTTTTCAAAATTGATGAACTTTTTTTCAATTTCGATGAACTATTTTCAAATCAATAAACTTTTTCAAAATCAACGAACTTCTTTCAAAACCATTGAACTATTTTTTTTCAAATTTGATGAACTTTTTTATTCAAAGTCGATGAACTTTTTAAAGTTGGTGAACTTTTTGTTCAATATGGGTGAACTATTTTCAATATGGGTGAACTTTTTCCAAAATTGTGAACTTTTTTTTGAATTTTCATGAACTTCATCCTAAATTTTGTGAACTTTTTTCAAATATTTGAAGTTTTCTCAAATTCATGATATTTTTTCAGTTTTTACGAACCTTTTCAACTTTATGAACTTTCTTTGAAATTCACTTTTTTATATTGTCCATTCATTTCCTTTTTCTTTTCATTTTATCATGAAATAATAAGTATAACAGTCTGGGTATATACTAAAGACAGTTTGTCCCTAAAATAAACAGCATACTAAGGTCGGCGTAGTGGCTGAGTTCGAATGCTACTGCGGTGGCGGTCAGAGATCTAATCCTGACTCTGCTGCATTTTTTGCGATCTTTTTTTTTTGAGAAAATTTTGCGATCTATAAACCTCGCTGTGCCTGGCTGCGTTTCCTGGCCCGGCCCAGTTCGGGTCCGTGCAGGCGCCAGCGACGCGAACCGGCGCCTACAGCGCTATATAGGAGCTCCCGCCAACCTGGGCCGGTGGCCCGCCCAGCGCTGGAGAAAGAGAAATTATACCTAGGCCCAGCCCACACTCTGACCACTGCGCACAGCAGCAGACAGCACGCAGCACGCAGCAGCCCATAGCCCAAGCTCACGGCACGCACGCAGCGCTCAGCCGCCACCGGGCACCGTCGCAACAGCCGCCGTCCGCCGCGGTGCCGCCCACCGGCCGCCGGCACGCGCATCAGCCGCCTCCCACACAGCAGCGCGGCGACTCGGCGAGTCGGCCGAAGCAGACCCACGACGGCACGACCCTACCGGCACACAGCAGCGGCGAACCAGCGACCCAGATCCCGCAGCATCTTCACATAACTGCACTTCGGCGGTGCCCCTTGGGGATTTTGTTGCCGGGCGATGTCGGCGACGCCGCTGCCCCCACCGCCGCCGGCCGACGGCCCGGCGGCGCTCCCGCCCCCGCCGGGGACGGACATGACGGGGATCTGCTTCCGCGACCAGCTGTGGCTCAACACCTACCCGCTGGATCGCAACCTCGTCTTCGACTACTTCGCCCTCTCCCCCTTCTACGACATCACCTGCAACAACGAGTCCCTCCGCTCGCGCCAAATCCACCCCCTCGACATGTCCCAGCTCACGTAAAACCCTAGCTCCCCCTCCCCGCTCCTCCTCTCTCGCTGCCCAATTCGCCGGTAGCGAGGGTCACTCATTGCTCCGTTCCTTGTGGTGGTCGCAGGAAGATGACCGGGCTGGAGTACGTGCTGAGCGAAGTGATGGAGCCGCACCTGTTCGTGATGCGCAAGCAGAAGAGGACGAACGCCGAGAAGTCTGACGCCTTGCTCGCCTACTACATCCTCGACGGCTCCATCTACCAGGCGCCCCTGCTTGGCAGCGTTTTCGCCTCCCGCATAGTAAAGCTCCAGAGCCTTTTATTCTTTTTTTTTCAGAAATTCTGCAGTGAGGTTCTATAGTTCACTCACTGACAACGATGGCAATGTGGTATATTGTTGAGCTATTTCACTCGCACAATTTTTCTGTGATTTTGCCAATCCGAGTTGCAGAGTGTTAGGTTGATTAATGTTTCCCCTTTTCTGCTCCTGTGGCATTTCAGAGTAGGGCTATGCATCACATATCAAAAGCATTTTCTACGGCATGCTCAAAATTGGAGAAGATTGGTAATGGTATGGTCTTCACATTTTATCCACTTCTTTACCTCTTCTTTTACCCTTTTTCTTACTTGAATAAACATCACTTATGCATGATGTAGTTTTGGCCAGTTATTGTATCGCCTGCGAAATATATACTTGTATTGAGCATCCAGCTGATTTTATGCATTGTAGTTCGTGACTGGAAGAATGAAACTAACAAGCAGTGGTACAATTGGTCAGGATAATGCAGTAATTGGTTCGTCATTAGGTTCACAAAAAAGTATTCATTTTCTAGAGGAGTTGAGATTTATGCCTAGCAGCAAAGTTTCAGAATCAGCAGGTTGACCTAAAAGATGCTAACTCTAAAGTCATCTCTATTTTCTTTTCAGCGGTCCCGAATTTAATTCCTTACTCCGTGAAAGAAAAAAAAATTCAAGTTCCTTTTTGGTTTCTTGACAGATTTCCATGGTTAAACTAATTTCAAATAGCCAATTTACCCTTTCTCTCCAAAGATTGCTTACTCTGTTTTGACTGGGCTAGGGGTTCAGATTTTCTGAAGCTCTATTCACTCAGTAATAAAGTTCATTTCTGTTAAGTTCTTCGGTCAAGCTTCAGTTTCTAGCCTTGATTAAACCGCTGTTATTCTCCAAAACCTATCAATTTCTGAAATCTGGTACCAGCAGGATCCATAATTCTGGGGAATCTGGTTTCTATAACATGGTTCGTCAACTGCAGTTAGCACTGATCAGTGTGTGATAGCCGTTTATTATGCTATGGCATGTGCAGCTATAGCTGGTGTGTTTGCAGCCAGCAGTAGGTGGCGGCACAAAGGCAACAATTTGGGTTAAATGGACAATTCTTATTATTATTATGAATGGAAATGAGATTTTGTGCATAGGTTTTGCAACTTTTAGTTAAATGGTCTTTTGCAACTTTTAGTTAAATGGCCTTTTGCAACTTTTAGTCGTATATTTTGCAAAATTATGAGTTCTGCAGGTAAAAAATTAGATATAGGCAATTTTTTTGTTTTCTAAGAGTAAAGCTCCAAGAATAAAATGGAATACTAGCTAAATACCTGTCGTTGCAACAGGGGCAACTTTATTCTAGTGGTTCAACGTAGGAAATTTTTTATTGGGTTGAGATTGAGATATGCTGTGGGGATGGAATCCATCGGCGAAGGTAAACAAAGATATGATGTGATTGGGATTGTGTACGTATAACTACGTGAGTTGATTTTGTTGTTTGCTTCCAAGAGATTTCTTGCTATTGGCGATTTATTTGATTTCTGTTGATTGTTTTTCACGGGATTTCTTTTCCCAGAAAAAAGGAGGTGGGGGTCAGTTTGAAAAAAAAAACTTAATGAGGGTTATCGCATGGTTTTGAAAAAAAATTGGTGGGAGGGGTGGAAGCGAAACCAACAAACTCCCCTTCAATGTAGTAGAGATAATTCATTATTTTTTGTCGCCGGTTTTCTTATATCTATTTCTCTCTATGTTATTGGAGTTTATATGCTTAACTGTTCAAAGAAATTTGTTTTTGTTTGTAGGTTGGAAGTTACCAGATAAAGTTTGAGTCCATGTGAACGGATACACTGTTTGAAACAAATAAAATTTAGCATTACAGATTGTTGATTGAACTACTACTTATCTTGAATTTTGATAATCTGTAATAATGATAGTTAGCACTTTGGCGTTGTTCATGCAAGATCACCTGCAGGAAATTGGTTCCTTGCCGCTGCTGTACTTCACAACTTACATGTTAATTCTTTTTATGTTACAATTCTTTTTATTTACTGCAAGTTGCGAAACAAAAGTAGCATAACTGGAATTTTTGTTTTGTTATTTACAGCGGAAACAGAGGCTGATGCGGCAGCTTCTGAATCAAAGGCCCAAAAGGAAACAATTGACTTGAAGGAGTTGAAACGAGTGGATCACATCCTCATGTCTTTGCAACGAAAGGTAACATCATTTTTAGATAGCAAAACATCATTTTTAGATAACATGATGGTGGCCGTTACGCAAAAGCAAATTGGGGAGACATACGGTGCACTAGGCACATGAGATGTACTGATGCATATTGTGTGTCCCCAAGAAAGTTGTGTCTGATGCACCTTATGCGAGTTCTGCTGCTGTATCTTACTCCCAAGTGTGTTCATGAACCTCCTTGTCAACCATTTACTAATTACTCTGGACTTTTGACATCTTTCTTGGCAGCTGCCTCCTGCTCCTCCCCCTCCACCCTTTCCGGATGGTTATGTCCCATCAGAACAAGAGAAAGGGCCAGATGATCTGTTGGCCTCGGAGCCATTGCCTCCTGCAATTGACCCCATCATTGATCAAGGGCCAGCAAAAAGACCAAGATTTCAATGAGATTGTGCCGTCAATCAAGTAAAATTAGCAAGATTTCAATGAGATTGTGCCATCAATCAAGTAAAATTACTGGCACGCTAATGGCATGTTGTATTGCAAATGATAAGTAGAGATTTGTAATTCCTGAGCTGGGAAGGTGCAGACCATTTTCTGAATGTACACTTGGACTTGATCCTTTATAGCTATGTAAGGCCAGTTTGTGGTTTTCAAACTCCTGATGAATTGCTGGCCACAGCATTTGCTACATCAAACAGACCCGTATATGATGGTCATCGGCCACTTTAGCCACGCCCAAAGCTGCTTGAAAATGAGCAGGCTTGTTACATGCTCCGGGCCTATACTGGACACTTTATATAACTAGATAAAACTTGTCTCCAGAAGGAATTTGATGTCCCTGGAAAGCTGACCCAGGGCTCGCATTATCATCCGCAGTGAAGGCGAGGGCCTGTTTGAGTACCAGGCCTCTCAATGCCGTGATGGTCTGCAGGCTTCACGGAGGGGCGCGGGCAATTGTTCCATCAGCGTGCAAGGCGTCCGCAGCTTCAAAAACTACGTCGCCATCGGAGGACATTTATTGTACGATGCAAGGAGGTGAAGGCAGTGTGGCGAGTCATGGGAACGGAAGCTGTCAGAATGAAGCTAGAGGCCTATAATTCAGTGGAACCTGTCATGGATCATCTTTGGTCACTGAAGATGGAGGACCGTGTGCAGATTTTGTACTTCTGGTGGGAGTGGTGAAATGAGAGGAACCGCATCAGAAAGAACGAAGGAAGGGTACGGCCAGAGGAGATCGCCACAGCACATACGTGGCCGCCATGGAATATTGGGAAGTTGTCGGGAAACATAAGCAAAATCCACCAAAGGAGAAAGGAAAATGAAGGCCACCTGAAGAAGATGTGCTGAAGTTTAATATTGATGGGGCTCATGTGCCAGGGAGCTTGGAGTCTGCTTGGAGGGTTGTTGCACCAGACCATACCGGGGAGGTATTAGCATGCATGACTGGCAAAGCTGAGCATCCGGAAGTAAAAAATATATCTAGGTCCGTAGACCATCTAGCGACGACTACAATCACTAGAGCGAGCCAAAGGCGCGCCGCTGTCATCGCCCCTCCATCATCGGAGTCGAACAAACCTTGTTGTAGTAGACAGTCGGGAAGTCGTCGTGCTAAGGTCCAATAGGACCAGCACACCAGAACAGCAACCGCCGCCGATTAAGAGAATCGTAGATCGAAAGGATCTAACCTGCAGACATACTGACATAGAAGAACAAAGACCGGATCCAAGCGGATCCATCTAAGACAAACACCGACCGAATCCCACAAGATCCGTCGGAGATACACCTCCACACGCCCTCTGAAGATGCTAGAAGCACCACCAGGACAGAGGCTAGGTGAGGAGAACTTTATTCCATCTTTAAAAAATCACCCCTGCCTCATCTTTCTGAACATGACACAAACCCTAATAAAACAGAAAAAAAATACGTAAAAACGGAGCCCTCTCGCCGGCAAGTGCCGGGATTCGCCGCGCCTTCATGGTTTTAAAACCATAGGAGACGAAGCGGACCAACGGCGGCGCCGGCGAGAGGCTAAGGAAACCTAGACAAGTCGCCTGGGACTTCGCCTGGCTGGAGTTGTACCAGGCGATATGCCGAACTCGTTCACGTAAGAAAGCTATGCTTTGACTCTCAAAAAAACTACGTCGCCATCGCTGGGAATGCGCCGCGTCCGTGTTCACTTTAATCACTCCCACCGGTGGACGGACACTTGCACCTCTGTGTTTGCGCAGCTTGGACCTTGGTTTGGGCGTGCGAAATTCTGCAGATTCTGCAGTCAGCCTCCTCACATGAAACTGAAGCTGGTCTACTGTCCAACTTCGTTGTGTTTTTTCTGGTTCCACCGGTACCACATGGGAGCAAACAGCTTGCTACATGCGGCAGCGAGAGGATCGATGGAAATATTAACATTTTCTCGACTAATCTAATATATGAGTATACAGTAAACATGGCAAATACGATATGCATCTCATACTGATACCTAAGCATGTGAGCATGTATCGTACATCAAAACATCTATGAACAATTATATATACGACCACACATGAACGAGTAAATAGGGGATGAATGAGTCATGCATACCTTCCAGTTGGCCAGGCCAACACGGCGGCGGCAGCGACAGCCTTGGCATCGATTGAGGCCTTCTTCTTGCCGGCTTCGTCGTCAGCCATGGAGACATTGCAAGGAAAGTAGTGGAAGCAGAGACAAACAGAGGCGAGGACGGATTGGGAGAAGTCGCGTCGAGACTCTCCCCCAAAAACCTTATTACCGTTTTCCCGGGCCGGGTCTCGAACGACAAGGTTCCGGAGGCACCTGCTCTCTCGACCAACCGTGCGCGCGGTCGTCGGGATGGGATCGCTGGAAGCAGCACAGAGAGAGGACCAGTAGATGACGGCTAGAATTGTGCAAGAGGGAGTTAGTGAACTAAACTGAAGGAAATATATCCTAGAGGCAATAATAAAGTTGTTATTTTATATTTCCTTATTAATGATAAAAGTTTATTATTCATACTAGAATTGTATTGATCGAAAACTTAAATACATGTGTGAATACATAAATAAATACTGCGTCCCTAGTAAGCCTCTACCAGACTAGCTCGTTGATCAAAGATGGTTAAGGTTTCCTAACCATGGATATGTGTTGTCATTTGATAACGGGATCACATCATTAAGAGAATGATGTGATGGACAAGACCCACCCGTTAGCTTAGCATAATGATCGTTCAGTTTATTGTTATTACTTTCTTCATGTCAAATACATATTTCTTCGATTATGAGATTATGCAACTCCCGGATACCGGAGGAATACCGTGTGTGCTATCAAACGTCACAACGTAACTGGGTGATCATAAATATGCTCTACAGGTATCTCCGAAGGTGTTTGTTGAGTTGGCATAGATCGAGATTAGGATTTGTCACTCCGAGTATCGGAGAGGTTTCTCTGAGCCCTCTTGGTAATACACATCATGAAGCCTTGCAAGCAAATGACTAATGAGTTAGTTACAAGATGATGTGTTACGGAACGAGTAAAGAGACTTGCCAGTAACGAGATTGAACTAGGTATGAAGATACCGACGATCGAATCTCGAGCAAGTAACATACCGATGGACAAAGGAAATTATGTATGTTGTTATAAGGTTCGACCGATAAAGATCTTCGTAGAATATGTAGGAGCCAATATGGGCATCCAGGTTCCGCTATTGTCTATTGACCGGAGAGGTGTCTCGGTCATGTCTACATAGTTCTCAAACCCGTAGGGTCCGCACGCTTGATGCTCGTTGACGATATAGTATTATATGAGTTATGTATGTTGGTAACCGAATGTTGTTCGGAGTTCCGGATAAGATCACGGACACGACGAGGAGCTCCGGAATGGTCCGGAGGTAAAGATTGATATATAGGATCATATGGTTAGGAATGGGGGTAAGGCCCACAGGGCTTTAAGTCGGTGCAGAAGGAATTTTGCGGAGGCCAGGGGGCCAAATGCCAGAGACCCTGGCGTCTGGCACTGGGCCAGACGCCGAGGTCCATGGCGTCTGGGCCAAACGCCAAGGACTATGGCGTCTGGTCCTGAAAGTCCGAGAAGGACTCTTCCTTGCGGGCAAAACCGATTTTGAGGAGGCTCTTTCTCCAAGTTACGACCTCGAGGCTCAACATATAAATAGAGGGGCAGGGCTAGCACCTGGAACACATCAAGAATCACCAAGCCGTGTGCCAGCAACCCCGTCCCCTCTAGTTTATCCTCCTTCATAGTTTTCATCGTGCTTGGCGAAGCCCTGCGGAGATTGTTCTTCACCGACACCATCACCACGCCGTCGTGCTGCTGGAACTCATCTACTACTTAGTCCCTCTTGCTGGATCAAGAAGGCGAGGACGTCATCGAGCTGAACGTGTGCTGAACACGGAGGTTCCGTATGTTCGGTACTTGATTGGGCCGGATCGTGAAGGTGTATGACTACATCAACAACATTGATAAACGCTTCCGCTTAGCGATCTTCAAGGGTATGAAGATGCTCTCCCCCTCTCGTAGCTATGCATCTCCATGGATAGATCTTGCATGTGCGTAGAAATTTTTTGTTTTCCATACAACGTTTCCCAACATGAACTAGGTCACTCTACTGGCTAGTGCCTTCTTACATAGGTCGTTGGGTAGACGGGCCTGGGCCACGACCGAGTCTGCGAACAGCCCACGGTCCAACGTCTTAGGCGGGGCGCGCGGGTGGCGAAGGAGGAGGAGCACACATGTACAACACATCTTCCCAAGCTCCCAATGACATGTGGTAGAGCAGCCTTTATAAAGGGGTCTCACTCTCACTCCACTATCAGTATGGTACTAAACTTCCTATCACTTGCCATGCATCTAAATGGGCCTTAGAGATTAACCAGGGATTATTGTCTTATATAGGCCTAAGCCCATCTATAATCCAACAATCCCCCACTAGATCTCGAGGCACATAAGTTTGTCAACTGTTTCAAACAATGTTTGATATACCAGAATTTTTAGTGGAGTCTGTCAAGTTGAACTTCCACCTAGAGCAACAGGATTAGACTTCTTCACAACTGAACAATGGACTATACGTTGAATTGTCAGTTTGGCGTGCAGAAGTTTCACCTATTATTAGCTGATACGTGGCCGCCGAAGGCTAAACCCCACGGGTGGAGCTTATTAGTCATACTCCTTACCTTCTCACGAGCTTCCTAGAAATTACCCAACCTCATATATTGTTGACTAGCAGTCGGGCTTACACAAGATTTGGAACACATTGAGACAAAAGTCAGCCTGCCTTATAGATTACGAGAGTATTGCATCTCCAACGCAGTGGGTTAGTAAGGGTAGTCTCTTTAGTTGACAGCTAGGTTGTTTTCGCAGGTCATAATTCATGGGATCTCTAATCACATAGGTTGGGTTACGCCCATGGCGACTTACGTGGGTCTCATGCCCATCTCCCT